ACAAAAGTGTTCTAGTTTTAGATAATTCTTTTTATTTTATTGTTCTCTTTCTTAGAAGATATCCTTTTTATATCATATTTAATTTGATTCTGTCATCTTCAATTGTCATTTTATGTAATTATTTATACTTCTGATTATTATACTGTGCTTGAAATTATTTAGGTCATATTACAAAGAATAAATGTCTCTCTCTCTATAGATAATATTATGTCAAATTTCCTTCCGTTAATATTATACTAATCTTAGGTTTTAATTCTGCTAATTAGCGTGTATTGTTAAAATGAATAAGAATTTTCAATCAAATAGTATTGATGATATAAATCTAATATAAGTAAAATTATATTTTTTATTTAAATATTGAATCCTATTATGAGTTAGAGAACAAATCAAAAATTTCGATGTCTTCGAACTCATCACATAAAGATTCGGATGCGAATGAGTTAGTGTCTTCTATTCACAAATACCCTCACCATCATGACAGGATATTTCAAAGCAAAAACAATCAATATGTGAGAATTAGTGAACTTTGAATATGTTATAAAATGTCGTTGTTTTTCTCAAGTTTGTAACAATCAATTTTTTTTGTTATTTTTCTTATCTGTGAATCATCTCTTTTCAGTTTACCCTACTTATTTATTCTCTTACGCCATTTTATATTCTCTTTACATCATTTTCACTTATCCTTTTCCGTGTATCCATATTTAATTCTCTTTTCTAATGCTTTGCATGTCATTCGAATGTTGACTTCTTAAGTTGAGATATTTTTCTTATGCGACTTCATGGATTGTTACTTCTTGTTTATAATGAGCAAGAGTTTAACTTAGTTGATATATAGATAACCTCATGTCTTTTGAACTTATACAAAATCTTTACTTGAAATTAAATAAGTAGGTAATATTTGAACTCAACTCTTCATATCCATTATTCATTATTTATTTTTATTATTAGGAAAAGACAATAAATTTCGTCCCTTCACACGTTATTAAAGATAAATAATAGAAAAGAAGAATTATAGCAGATAACTGTTAGTCAATACTATGTACATACACATTAGTCTTAAGCAAAGTGCAGAAAAAAAATATAATACTATAAATACCTGAAAGTTAGTTCATACAGTTTCACACCTTACTAGACGTTCAAACTTTTAATTTAAGATTTCTGTATAAACATAAATTATCAATTCTACACTTCGCATATTTTTTTAAGAAATTGCTAAGGTGCACCAAATGCAAAAGTGTAGCATAAAAAAAAAGTTTCTTTGTTTTATACATCGTTAGATAGAGCTCGTCGAGCTGAATCTAAATATGTATAACTTTTGTATTTTGAGCATGTTTTCGGAGAAAAAACGTTAAAATACTGAAAAATCTGAAAAAACCGACCAATTGGTACCGTTCAGAAAAAGATGATTTTTTCGCCCTCATTTCTTCGTTACTTCTTTCTGAAACTTATTCATTTAGATTCAGAATTTCAAGCTAAATCTAATGGTATAGTTTTTATTTCAATTGAACGAGCTGTTATGGAGTAATTGTTTCCGAAATGATGAAAGGTGAGAAAAAAATGACCTGGCGACATCTTCATCTTGCAAACCTATGTAGTCTTTCATTTTAGAATATTTTTTAAACATTTATACATCAATCGATTCATCATATGACAGTGAAAAAAGTTACGTAGGATTTTTGAAAAATTTTGTTTCATCGCTGAGAAAAGGCGCCAACATTAATTGGCTATATTTTCGGAAAAGAACGCCTTTGGTTGCTCATTAAATTTTTTCTCGTAATTGAATATTTTTGACAAATACTTTTAAAAAATCGTTATCTACTTAATAGGATTGATATTTCAAGCCTTCTAGTGTGTACAGATTCTCTTTTTTCTACTCTTAGTGTATGTAAATACACTATATAACCATATACTGTGTGGGTGCGTATAGGTGCGGATGTGAATGGGTACGTGAATGAAGACTGTTTGCATCCAACACCCACATTCACATCCACACACGCATCCACACTCATACCCATACTCACACCCATACCGATACCCATATCGATACCCATACCCATACCCATACTCATATCCATACCCACATACACACACCCATAGCCGCACCCACACTTGCACCCTATAACTGCATCCCACATCCGCACCATACCCTACACCCTCATCCACATCCACAGCCCACACACACATCTACACCCACAATCCACACACACATCTACATCCACACCCACACCCCATTATCGACACCTTACATGGTATACCATCACTCACACCCCACACCCACCGGAAATCTAGTTTTTGGAGTCTTTCTATCCTTTGGAAATATTATCTGGTGGTTTTCTATTCTACCTCATTGAAAAGATAACGATTTTTTAAAAGTATTTGTCAAAAATATTCAATTACGAGAAAAAATTTAATGAGCAACCAAAGGCGTTCTTTTCCGAAAATATAGCCAATTAATGTTGGCGCCTTTTCTCAGCGATGAAACAAAATTTTTCAAAAATCCTACGTAACTTTTTTCACTGTCATATGATGAATCGATTGATGTATAAATGTTTAAAAAATATTCTAAAATGAAAGACTACATAGGTTTGCAAGATGAAGATGTCGCCAGGTCATTTTTTTCTCACCTTTCATCATTTCGGAAACAATTACTCCATAACAGCTCGTTCAATTGAAATAAAAACTATACCATTAGATTTAGCTTGAAATTCTGAATCTAAATGAATAAGTTTCAGAAAGAAGTAACGAAGAAATGAGGGCGAAAAAATCATCTTTTTCTGAACGGTACCAATTGGTCGGTTTTTTCAGATTTTTCAGTATTTTAACGTTTTTTCTCCGAAAACATGCTCAAAATACAAAAGTTATACATATTTAGATTCAGCTCGACGAGCTCTATCTAACGATGTATAAAACAAAGAAACTTTTTTTTTATGCTACACTTTTGCATTTGGTGCACCTTACAAATGAGTATTATCTATGTCAGTTATTTCCATTCTGGCTTCCTGTCATACAGGCTATACATTATCATGTATGAACACCATCCCTCCCCAATCTCGCTTTAAAAAGAGTCATTTTTTGTGGAAAACATAAAAATTGAAATAAATCCAAGGACAGATAGTACGAGGTCTGATATTTCATAAATGACATCATATTTCTTATTTGGCAGCTCGTTTTTTTCTATTAAGGTTCTTTTGATCGTTATACATCCTAAAATTTTGCTAAGAGCTTGATTGTAATTAAGGCCATCTTTTTTCATGTTTCAAACACCATGTCAAGATAAAAGCCATGGCAGAGTTCCTTGTTTGAATTAAACTTTGCTACTAGTATACAGCAGAGTACTTTTATAAGTGGAACGCTATTTTTCTAAAGGTTTTTAAAGATTGAACTTTTCATTCGTTTTCTCCAAAAAACTTATGTCATGCCTCGCATATTGATATGTTCTTTCAAGTATAGAAAAATTCGTTAGTACAGCTTCTGTGGGGCTAAAATGCAGAACTCATATATCTTTGCTAGCGTCACTGTACTTATATAAAGTACGCAAAATATAAACCTCTAAAATACGATTGATATTTCCGATCATAATCGATTATCAATGCAAACGCTGTCTTTTTTATTTTTACATTTCGAACAAATATTTTGTTACCTTTTGACTAGCATTCCTTTCTGTTTCTCTTGTTGCTATTTGCTTGTCATTTATTTCATTTTCGTAACTTATTTTTGTTAAACTATTCATTGATTAAATAAGCCTATTGTACACATGCGTTATATCTATATCAGATCTTAGCGATTCATTATGAATCTGAATGAAATCAGAAACGTTTGTACTAATGAGAGACCAGAAAAGAACCACCCCATCCGAATTTGAACCACTCCTTAAAAGATGACGTCGAACTGAACCGAACCTTACTAGTCTTCAAAGAACGAGTGAATATAGAAAAATACATAAGAAAAAATAATTGACTGAGCCATAATATTTTTTGTGAAAGTATGATGCTGTTGGCGATTATCAAACCATGTTTGATCGATTGTTTTACATTCAAGATTAAGCATGATTAAGTTAAATTTATAAAAAATTATTAGGTCCAGCAATAAATTTACAGAAAATGCCACGTCTATCAGGAACCGAATCCGACCAAGAAAACTCGAATCGATTCAATCTCTGGTTTCGATCTAAATGGTAAAATTAAAAAAAATCCTACATCGAACGGTGAAACTATATAGGAATACGGAAACGTAAACCAAATTAGATCCTTCCTATAATGTCATGCTTCTAATGCATTAAGAAATTATATTCTTCATGAAGTTTACATAGATCGAGTTAGAAATGTTCTTTTTTTTCTTTTCAGAAGAGTAAAAAGCATTACTGGATGATGTATGTAATTCAGTTGCTCTTAAAACATTAAAAGTTCTTATTTTCACAGAATTAAAACATTTAACTTCACAGTATTAATTAACAGAACTGAGTATTAATGCAATGCTTCTTTCATCAAAATCACTTGGTAGCACATTATCTAGCATTCAACGACAAGCAGCTCCTTACATCTATTCAATATTTCTTATTTTTGGTTATATTGGCTGTGGTCTCAATATTATACTTTTATGTTGTCGACGAAAATTCTGTACAGTAACCTGTTGTACATGTAAGTGTTTTTCATTGATTACAAACATCACAAAAAAACTAATCAAAAAAAGGATAAAAAACCTTAGTCAAATATTAAATACTAAGAAATTCTCCACCTATTGTAAAGTATCTTCGTTTTGTTCATTGGAAATGGAAAAAGAAATTTTCAAATATTGATTCTATTTGAATAGATATGGTAGCAGCATCTATAGCAATGTTGTTCAATCTGTCGTTTGGCATCGGAACGATGCTATGTTTATTCAATTCCGTGAATTCCTCTGGAATACCACCTACTTTTTCTCGAATAAGTGCGTATCTACTTCAATCCACTGCAATGATATATCGCTGGTGCTTAGTTGCAGCAAGTTTCGATCGATATACTATGACATCAACGAATGCCTATTTAAGAAATTTTACTAAAATGTATATAGCTCGTCGTACAATTGTGGTAATTGTAGCTGTTTGGATTGTCTTACCTATACATAATCTTATTTTTAATACGGCAAATTTAAATCCAAATGACTTCTCTCATAATATTCCTGTGTTGTACTATCATAGTATATTTTCAGTTACTATTGGATGTATTCTTCCAGCATCAATTATGATTACTTGTGCATTTTTAACATATCACAATCTCGTTCTTAAACAAAAACGTCGTCAGCTTATGATTCCTCAACAAAGAGGAACCAACAATGATGTATGCAATCGAGAACGAAAACGTGATCGTCAAGTATTACTTTTATTAATTGTTCAAGTAGTTGTATTTCTTATTACAATTATACCATGGATGTGTTATCAGTTTTATAGCGCTCTTACGCTTAATGTAAAAAACAAATCAGTTGAACGATTGACGATCGAACGGTTTGCTGCTTATTTGGCACAATTGTACATTTGTCTATTTCCTACATCGTCATTTTACTTATACACAATGACTTCGAGTATTTTTCGTAAAGAGTTAAGAAAATTAATACAAAGTATGCTACGAAGGAATTATTTGCGTCGTAATGCTCGTATTGAACCAATGATAAACGATATTTGTTCTAGAGCGGTCATAAGACCTTGATTCAAATCAGCAATTATGTTACAATTGTTTAATCGTTATTCAAAACATATGAGATGGATGTATGAATTTATTCGAAACGTAGAAAATTTCGATGAATATATATTGTACAAAGAATAGTTATTCATGTTTTGATTTTTTAAAATTTTCATTCTTATGGAAAAATAATATATGATTCGAGAATTAGAAGTGATTTTCGGACAAACAAATGAAATAAATTGGTATGTCTTATAGTGATTTTAATGTTTCTCCATTGCTCTATTCTAAGTAGCATTTTATACTAAAGTATAACAGCGTTGTCATTGTTTCTAGTTCTTTTGAACGGTAGTTTTATCAAAAAAAAATGTATTGATTATTCTATGTACTCTTTAACTGATTGAAAATTGTAGTTCTTCTTTACTTTGATTTTGTAATTGCTCATATTTAGTTTTCTATCGTAAACTATCCTATTACGTGTGGTAAAAGTCTTTTATTTTTAGACGATTTTTTTTTCTTACAAGATATTTATTTCAATTTGTATTATTTCTTTTCTGTCTTCTTCGTTTGTCGTTGTTTGTAATTATTTCTGCTCTTGATTATTGTACTACTCCTGAAATTATTTGTATCATATTATGAAGAATAAATGTCTATCTATATATAGTTCATATCGTGTCAAATTTGCTTTCGCTACTGTTGACCTAAGCTGGCATTTTAATTCTAGTAATCAGTTTGGATTATTGTAATTAATAAGAATTTTCAATTAAATACAATCGATTATTTAGATTGTTAATAATTAAGAGTATATCTTCATAATATTGAATATTATTATTGGCTAGAGAACAAACTTAAGATTTCATTGACATGAAGGTATGATGTGAATGAGTTAGTGTCTTCTACTCACGCATACCCTCGTTATACATGAGCGGATACTTCAGAGCTTAAAAAGAGATCAATTTCAAGGAATTAATGAACTTTGAATATGTTAAAACATCGTCTTTTTTGTCGTCCAGTGCTTAACAACCAAATTGCCTTTACTGCACTTCTGCTTTTCTTTTCTCGTATATTCATATTCGATTCTCTTTCTACACGCTTTGCTTGTCGCTTGAATCTCAAATTTCCACTTTGAGAAATTTTTCTTGTGCTATTTTATAGATCCTTCTTTCATTTCTATAATTAGTGAGAGTTCAAATTTTGAAATCAATCTTCTACGTAGATTACTTATTGTTTTGTTATGATCTTAACCTTTTCGTGACGATATGAATATTGCTTTTTCATAATTGGGGAAAGATTTCATTTTTTTATTTATAAGAGCTGTAACACTTCAAAACAACTTTTATCAACGCTCCGCTTATAAATATCAGCTATGAACATTTCTTTATCATTGATTAAAGACTCAGCCTCTTTATTCAAAGTATGGCAAAGATACTCAATTTTTTCTGTGGTAAATGAGCTTTTAGACTACTCTTTACTGTGAGCCACCGGTGATTCATATCGCCTTGAATGAGTTAAGAAAAGAGAATAAATGTCATCGATCTGTAAATTTTGTCTGTTCATACACTATCAAAGATAAATAGTAGAAAACGTTAACCAGTTCTATACTTGATGGATTAATCTTAAACAAAGTATAGAAATAAATTGAATCTAGTCTATTTACGAGTCATTTCCTACAGTAATTCATACGTTGTTCTTTTTGAGAGATTGTTACGTTGATTTCTTAGCTGTGTTAGTTTTGAGTGTGGGTATGGATGCGAGCGTGCTGGTGTGGGTATGAGTATGTCAAGTGTTCCTCATCACACACCCAAAATGATAATGATAATTAGCTATTCTGCACGCTATCACTAAGAGAACGCCGTTTACCTACATTAACATATTTTCCATTGAACAATATCGACTGATCGCTTGATTTTCTCTGTCTAATTCATAATTAATCATCGGTCGATTTTCGTTCGAAGGACAAGTTTCATTCACCGGTCAAAATGAACCAATGACTGTCTGACAGGCGTTAGTTCGATGTTCTAAGAGAGTTTCAAGTCGAAGATCGATGTAGTCACTCACCCTCAAAAATATGTCCAACGACTGATTCGATTGCAATCTGTATGATGTCGGTGTGTGGGATGAAGGTAAAGAGAAGATCAACGCCGCAACTCATACCCACACCACACACTCAAATCCCTTCATGTCATCTGACGAATTTTTCTTGCTGGACCAGAAATGAACGATCAAGTTTGTAGCTCAGTCTGCAAATACCATTCAGAATAGAAAAAAATCGACTGATTCTTCTCTCATTCCAAGATAGAACAAATACTTTACGGGTTGAGAATGTGAATGATCAGCCGAGATGGACTGGAAAATTTTTCGAATAAATCAAGTGTAGATGGTACATGTACCTATAGATATCCTGATTGTAATGAGACACATCTGAGTGTGCCTCACTCAAGCCATTGATGTTTTGTCATATTGTGCATTCAACGAGCGTTGCATAGCAGCTCAAGAAAAATCATGAAACGTTTCTATGATTTATTAGCAGAAAAAGTGACACATCGTTTTTCTTTTGCCGATGCCTAAGTTCTAAGCAAATCGAATCTTTTTCCACGGTCACTACAAAAATACGTTTGGCAATCATACGGACGCTCAAAATCGAGATTGAATGATACTGGGCTATGACAACGGTTTGATATTGTCGGTTGTGGATGCTGAGTCTGACGATAATTCAACAGAATCTATACAGGTTCTTTTTGGACCTACAAACCAATGACGAGCAAAGAAAATCCAATAGGCTGCCGCAATTAATGCTAGGCCACCGACGACTACTATTGCATAATTCATATTACCACTTGTAACTGGGTATTGTGCGGGAAAGAACATGAATATTGTTGTGATAAAAAGCCATATGGATGAGATTATAGCAACAGGTAGACTAAATGGGCCTAGACTGAATTCACCGCGCACAAAACTGCTTCGAGCAGTTGTACATCGAAAGAAAATAGGCATAAAATAGGATACTTGATAACCGATTGTCGCCATGGAGATGAGAGCAGTGAAAGCAGTTGTCGATACTAATTGAAGTAGGAGAAGAAGAGAATCGAGAACAAAAATAAAAAACACATTGATTAATGGAGTTTTTGTCAGCTTGAATATCAAACAGAGATAGGTCGAGAATGGAAATACACCATCACGAGCCATGGCAAAGCTAGAATCAATGACATATCGTTAGTTAACAAAACCGATAAAAAAAAATGAATGACTAATCCATACCCAATTCGACTGGTCGCTGTCAATCCTGAGATGCCGGCAAAGAACAAATTGAGAATGACCAGAATCGTTAGTGCAAGTGCACCTGGATGCGATAAAACAAGTTGATAGGTAGCAATGGCTAGATTCGGCACAGCATTGTCACCCCTATTATTCTCCACAAATGATTCCACATCCGGAATAGCAAAAAGTAGAGCAAGTGTGTAAGCAAAGCCGGTTATGGCACCGCATACACAAGTGCCTACGATTCCTTTTGGAGCTGAAAAACAAGACGCATTTGTCAATTTATATGCATTTATCTAGAACAATAATTTCCTTTGAGATTTTTTACTTACCTGCACGACCAGCACGTGTAGTTTCTTCGGACAAATGAGCACCAGCTTAAAAATTCAAGCATGATAGTTAATATATATTCTAATCCACAATGATTACCTTCATACCCCGAGAATGAAAATAGTGTCGAAAGAATACCAATCAAGCACACATATGCAAATGGAAATCCAGTACTATTGTATGTAGATGTAAAAACCTGATGAGCTGTAGCTCGTGTAGGAGCCATGACAAGAAGAACGATAACAATGCTAATGGTCGAACCAATTTGAAGCACGGCAGCAAGATTATTAAGCCAACCTTGTTGATCGACACGCAACGCATTTAGAGCAGCCCATACAAAAGTAATTCCTATACCGATGCCCACTTGAGCACCTATACTTAGCGAATCATTCCCTTGGAGAATAATCGCAGCATTAATAATTGTAGCAAAACCGGATGAAAATGCAGCATCTCCTTCAACATGTTAAAAATGACAAATGTATTAACTATTTCTTCGCTTTTCTACCTGCAACGTTTCCAAGGAAATTAACCCAACCACAAGTGAACGAAGCCAATGGTGCATACTTAGTGGAAACTAATTGACCTGCCCTATATGCCAAACAAAAACATACTTCTATTGTCAACCAATTATTAAACAACGATCATGAACATACCAGTGATAGACGGATCCGGCACTCGGATACACAGAACATATTTCAGCCAAAGAGAGACCGACGAGAATAGTAAATACAGCTCCAATGATCCATGACCAAATGGTCACACCTGATCCACCAGTGTTCAACGAATAAGTGAATCCGATTGTAATCGATATGAAAACATTGACAGTGGTGAAGCAGAAGGCGAATGACATAAATGGAGAAAAGCCACGATAGAGCTCTTGCATGTAACCCATTTCCCGAAGAAGACGGACATCGGAGTCTTCCACTACCAGGTTTCCCTTTGTTGTCATACTTCAGATCAGGATAAATGATAGGTAAAGATAAGTCGGCTATGTCTTAAAATCTGAAAATAAAAGTTTTTCACGCGCTTCGTTTTCTCGACATTGTCATGTAGCCCTAAATTTATACTCAAAGAAGAACTAATTCGTTCGACCAGAATTCGTAATACTAGAATTAATTTGAAGTGCTAGCCATTCGATCGACTATGATTGACGATCTAGACAAAAAAAAACTGTTTTTTCCACGCTTTGCCAACGATGA